TAATTGGTTCATTTAAGTGTATAGTTAAATTGCTAAAAGATATAGACAGCACTAAAAATGGACCAAAAGGCTTGAAAAATGTGCAGATAGCCAGCTCTTGAAACCTATAGCCGGCTCTGGTGAAACTGAAGTGTAGAGAGCCTGCTCTACAGGTGAAAATTTCAAATCCATTGTTTGGCGAACGCGGAAAACAGACGCAAAGCCAACTCTGACTTTGCAGCCAACTGTGAGGGTGCATTAAATGCACAACTATTAATTTATTTGAAGATTAATTAATGTTTTTAAAGTTAGAATCCCAAAGTCAGCTTTACGTTTTGCAGCTGGCTATGCAAGAAAACAGAACGTGCAGGAAACCCGCAAAGTTGATTGTAGAGTTTTTAAGTTGGTTGTGGAGCCGGCTCTAGAAGTATAAGCCGACTGTGATGACAATTCTATAATTCGAAATTACACAACCTGTAGAGCATTAAATGACCTCCAACGGTTAGTAACGGCTAGTAACGGCTATTTTTGACTATATGGCTATAAATATGGTTGGTAAAAGATCTAGAACAAGTTTGAAGAGCATTGTATTGAATATCTTTACCTACCAACTTGTGCTTTAACTTGAGATCTTGATCTTTGAGAGATCTTTACTTGAAATCCTCTTCTTGTTTTATTTGTGAGTGATCTTGGGGGTGTGATTATTCCTTCAAGAGTGATTTGTAGAGAGGATTGTTTGGGTTTATCCAGTAAAGGGGTGAGATTTGAGAGAAATACTCATCTTCTTGTAAAAGGATTAAGTGGCTCCTTTAAGGCACCCTTGTTCTTGATAGTGGAAAGTGTGGAGGAAATTCTTGGTGAGTGAAGCCAAGGCAGAGGACTAGGCTCTAAGTGGTTGGACCAGGCTCCAAGTGGTTGGACCGAACCTCTATAAAATCATTGAGCAAGCTCTTCTTCCTTACTCTCTTTAATTCTTTGTTTTATGGTTGCAAAGAGGAGGGAATTTTTGAACTCCAATTCACCCCCCTTTTTGGAGTGCATTGAGCCAACAATTGGTATCAGAGCAAGGGCTCCAATTTGAAGGTTTAACCACCTAGGAGTTGATCGGGGATGGCTCAATTTCAAGCTTTTTAACCACTTGAAGGTTTGTTTACCACTTGGGCTCTTTTCTTTGATGGTACTAATTATAATTATTGGAAGAATAGGATGAAGGTGTACATGCTTGCAAATGAGCCTAGGGCATGGATTGTGACTATGAAAGGTCCATATGTGCCCATGAAAGTTGTTGGAGAAAATGAGGTGCCAAAGGAAGAAGTTGAATGGAATGATGATGACTTGGGAAAGATCATGATCAACAACAAAGCAATCAACATGCTTCAATGTGCTTTCAATCCAACAAAATTCCATAAAGTTTCTGGGTGTGATACGGCTAAAGAGATGTGGGACATGTTGGAGGTAACACATGAAAGAACAAGCCCAGTGAAGGAGTCAAAAATCAATAGACTCATTCACATGTATGAGCTTTTTAAGATGAAACTAGAGGAGAGCATTCAAGATATGTATATAAGATTGAATGATATAGTCACCAATCTCAACACTTTTGGTAAAGTCTATCCTTCTCAAGAAGTGGTGAGGAAGGTTCTTAGAAGCTTGCCCAAGAATTGGGAAGCTAAGAAGATCGCAATTGAAGAGTGAGGATTTCAACACTCTCAAGCTTGAAGACCTCATTGGAAAATTGATGATATATGAACTTGATGTTCAAGTTGATGGTGGAGTTGAAGTAGTTGAGAAGAAGAAGAAGGATGTTGCATTCAAGGCTCGCAAACAAAAAGAAGAAAGTGAAGATGATGCTAGTGATGATGAGTCTAGCCATGAGGAGGACATCACCAAATTGGTATCAAAAGAAGTGAAGAAATATATAAAGAAGAGCCTTAAAGGGAAATCCTCTAGAAGAAACAAGGAAATTCACAACTCTAGAGGAAGAATATGTAGTAGTGATGGTGATAAAAGAAAGCCAAGCAAGAATCATATCAAATGTTATGAGTGCAATGAATGGGACACTATAGAGATGAATGCCCTAAATTGAAGAAAGGAAAGAAAAACAAAGCATTTGTTGCCACTTGGAGTAATGATGAATGTAGCTCATCCAGGAATGAAAGCCCTGTGGAAGATGATGTGTCCAATCCTTGCTTTATAGCTCAAGAAAATAACTTCTTTGATGAAGAGGTGAGCTCTAACTCTTTTCATTCATTTCATGATAGCTCTTATGATTATTCTTATGATAAGTTGTGTAGAGTGCTTGACTGCTCTATTAATGATATCAAGAGACTAGGGAATGAGAATTTAGCACTTACTAAATCTATCTCTTTACTTAAAGATGAGCTTAAATCTCTTTCAAAACAAAATGAGGTTTTAGTTAAAAAGAATGCCTCTTTAAATGTTGAGATTGCCTCTTTAAATGTTGAGATTGCATCTTTGAGGGATGAAGAATCTAATAATGCTTTGAAAAAGGAAAATGAGAATTTGAAAAAGAAAGTTTGTGATTTTAAGAATGTAATTTCCAAATTCACTTTGAGTAAGGAAAAATTTGATTCTATCTTGAGTTCCTAAAGAAGTGTTTTTAACAAAGGGGGCATTGGATTTGATTATTCTAAAAAGCAAAAGACTTATAAGAACTTCTTTGTGAGAGCAAGTCAATTCTTTAATCCTAAAGTTACTTGCTATTGTCGTAATGCAAAGGGACACTTTGTTTATGCATGTCCTTTGAAGAGATTGATGGCTCAAGGCAAAGTGAAGCAAATTTGGGTTCCAAAAGGAATCTTAAGCACTAACTCCCAAGGACCCAAGCAAATTTGCGTACCAAAAATCAAGACTTGATTTTGTTTTGCAGGTAAAGTTGATGGAAAAGTCATGAGAAAAGCAAAGTTGATCTTGATAGAGACTTATCCCTTAACAAGAATGTTAAAGTAAAAGTGCAAAGAAAAATTTGTTTTTGAAAACTTTACTCATGTGCTCAAATTGGTATCATTTATCTTATTGCATTTATTAATTAAGTATAATTATATTAGCATGACCATTAATTTTTAGTTCATATGTGCTCACTCTTTAATACATATGCTTGCTGAGTATGATTCCATTTGATATGTCTTTTCTAGTGTTGATACAACCTTGTTGATTGCTATAGATATTACTTGTATCATATTTACATACTTGACATATGTGAATGATTAGATTGATTATTTATCATATATAGTTCATAATGAGCTCTTGATGGTATAAGTGATTTTCAATGTCATATGTGTCATTTTGAAGATGGTTGATGATTTGATTTAAATGAGTAATTTTAATAACTTGTCTTACTTTACATGGTTTGTCTCATTCAAATTTACTTGTCTCATTATTTTCACAATTTTGATGATAGCACTTGGAAGTTAAGCATGACCCTAGGAAGAGTCTCACACTTGGAAGTTAAGTATATTAGGAAATTCGTATATTTGTTTTGTGATGGATGATTTTGATGATATTTGATTATGTGCAAGTATATGTCATGCACTTGAATGCTTGCATAGTCATGGTTGATTTTAATGAATAAGATTTTTGATATTTACTATCATATGATATGCTGCATATAAAGAGGAGTAATATGTGGTATTCAATGAGACTAACCCCATTTACTCTAGAAAGAGTTGTGCAATTGTGATGTAGATGTTATTGGGTAACAAAGATAAGAATGAACATTGAAGGCAATAGCATCACACAACCTCCAAGCAGGTGAGAAGAACAAGATTGAGGAGATGCAACAAGCACAAACACAAAGGTTATAATTCTACCCAAAAGAGAGATCTTATAAAGGTAATGTGATAAATGGTAACACATCTCAAGGGTAAGAAATATACATGCTATCCTTAATGATGGCATTAACATTGTTTTTAGTGCTACTAATGAGTTTTGTTGCAAAGAATTTTCCAAAGTAATGTTAAGTAAACTTGAGACAATTAAATGTATTGGAACTTCAAATGAAATTATCCCAAAGATGAGATCTTCACCAATCAAAGGGAGCACACAAAGGAGATGCACAGGCAATGGTCTCTCCATTGAGGTATTCAATTGCTCTAAGAATAATGGAGGTAAACCTATCAATTTCAAACTCTTTATGAGTATAATGGACATATATATTGCTTTATCTTTGGTGGATATCACATTTGTGTTGTTTCATTTATCTTTTATTGATCTTGATGACTTAAATCATAGATGATTATTCATCCTTGGTATGATTTTAATGAGATTGTTATATAAATAAGTTTATGCTTTCATGAGTTATTTTATTAAGGGGGAGCTCTATTGTCTGTTCTTGATATGGTCTTCAAGTTTTTTTGTTAGATAACAAAAAGGAGAGAAAGAATCTTTTGACCTTAATAATTGCTTGAAATAAGATATCTTTGTTTACTACAAAACCTCTTGATTGTGATAGATTTTTAATATTTGGCCCTTTTTCTCTCCTCACATTCAAGATTTGATTCTCTCCTAAATTTTGCCCTCACTATCTATGCACATTTCTTAGCTTATTATCATGGATTGTGGATTTTAATTGTATATGACTTTATGGTTGCCTATGATTTTGATAATTATGATCTTAAGTGCTTTCATTGAGGGGGAGCAATTTGTGGATATTATGCTTAAATTACTTATTTTTGATGCTTTAAAGGTTGATATGCATTAATAAAGGGGGAGTTTATTGATTATGTTTATATACTTTTTGATGGATGACAAAAAGGGGAAGAAAGTATGTTGAATTTACTGTCATTTTCTAAAGTGTTTTTATGCTGAAACTTCTGGTTAATTTTGAAGTCTATATGTGCTTTCATTGAAATATATATGTGCTTTGATTCATTCATTCTCAAAGTGTTTTGTCATCATCAAAAAGGGGAAGATTGTTGTACCTATGATTTTGATGATTACAAAACATATTTGAGTGACTAATTGGTTCATTTAAGTGTGTAGTTAAATCGCTAAGAGATTGCAAAGTAAGTAAACTTGGATTGGACAAAAAATGAACCAAAAGGCTTGAAAAATGTGCAGACAGCCGGCTCTTGAAACTTGCAGCTGGCTCTGGTGAAAGTGAAGTGTAGAGAGCCGGCTCTAAGAGTTGCAGCCAGCTCTACAGATAAAAATTTCAACTTTGTTGTTTGGTGCGTGCGGAAAACAGACGCAAAGCAGGCTCTAACTTTGCAACCGGCTTTGAAGGCACATTAAATGCACAACGGTCAAGTTATTTGAAGATTAATTAATGTTTTTAAAGTTGGAATCCCAAAGCCAACTTTACGTTTTGCAGCCCATTGTGCAAGAAAACAAAATGCGCAAGATACCCACAAAGTCGGCTCTAAGAACCTAAGCTGGCTCTACGGAGAAAATAGAACGTGTAGGAAACCCACAAAGCCAGCTGTAGAGTTTTTAAGCTGGCTGTGGAGTCGGCTTTAGAAGTCTAAGCCGGTTGTGCTGACAATTCTGCAATTAGAAATTACACGACCTATAGAGCATTAAATGACCCCCAACGGTTAGTAATAGCTATTTTTGACCATAGGGTTATAAATATGGTCAGTAGAAGATCTGGAACAAGTTTGAAGAGTATTTTATTGAATATCTTTACCTACCAACTTATGCTTTAACTTGAGATTTCGATCTTTAATAGATCTTTACTTGTAATCCTTTTCTTGTTCTATTTGTGAGTGATATTGGGGGTGTGATTATTCCTTCAAGAGTGATTTGTAGAAAGGATTGTTTGGGTTGATCTTGTAAAGGGATGAGATTTAAGAGAAATACTCTTTTTTTTTTTTTTTTTTTTTTTGTAAAAGGATTGAGTGGCTCTTTTAAACCAACCTTGTTCTTGATGGTGGAGAGTGTGGAGGAAATTCTTGGTGAGTGAAGCCAAGGCAGAGGACTAGGCTCCAAGTAGTTGGACCGAACCTCTATAAAATCATTGAGCAAGCTGTTATTCCTTACTCTCTTTAATTCTTTGTTTTGTGGTTGCAAAGAG